GTATCGTTTTCTCTATATTTATCCCTTTGGTTATCTCCATCTGCTAATGTTACATATGTTTAAATATATTTTCATTATGGCTTTCTTCCTATTCCTTTTGAATTGACTGTCTCCTGCCTCCCCCCATTGCTTTTCTGTGTCTTTCCACAATCTACCTATATCCATCATAACTTTTAAAACTACTTCATGAATGTGATGTTGTTTTCACCTGTGTTCTTTTTACATTAATATCATCATGTAGCCTGTTTAAATTTGAAACTATTTTTCAAAATCAGATATCAAAAAAACAAACAACATGTTTATACAGAATTTTCAAAGGATAAAACTTACTCTTCAGTCGTGCTCTCAATTTGCTTCAAAGTATTACTATAATTTCCATGTGTCTACACTAATTAATGGTCTTATCTTCCAAGGCTCACTTGTATAAAATGTGAGACATAGCAATCACCTACCAATTAACGAAGCACAAAGGGCTTGCTGAGAACTTAATTCCAGGTTGACCAACAATTATCCATCTTTTCAAGGACATTTTGTTCTCATCTTTGCCCTTTTCTTATTTTTAATGCTATATGTACAAGGAATAGATTAAAAGATAATCATTTTTATTCACTTTACAGGACAAGTCTTGGGGACTAGATAAAATGGGCAGGAACATTTAATCCTCTGCTTCAAAGACTATGTGCATGGACAGTTACAAGGCAGTTATGGCCAGATATGATTATCGGCTTTGGAATAAAATGCTCCTTGACATTGCTTATATCTTAGCTGAGAAGAGAGACAATCAGGTTAGTTATTTTGTAGGGTACAGATGTGATGAGTTCCAGAGCTTCATAAGTCATCAGAGTGATCTTATCAGTAGTATTTTTAATCTGTTTTCCAAATATCCCATTTTCTTGTAATGAATTAAATAATGTGTCCCTATTGTCAGTGTTTATGCATTGCATTTAATTGTATACTTTTACTACATTTTTATTAAAAGTTTTTGTCATTCTGTAGTTCATTATGTCTGTTTATTCCACAGTCATAAGTATATTCTTATTTTTCCATTGGAGGTAAACACTCTTTTTAGAATACTTTTTACCATTAAAATGAGAGAGACTGTTAACAAGTAAATTTCATATTTTCTTTATTCTCTTAGTTGGAATTTTAAAACTTACTGTCCTAGTTGTTTGACCCGCTATAATAAAGAAGCTTCTTATTATAGTTTTCATTAACTATTGATATTCAGAACTAAGTGCCCTTATTTTTATTAGAAATAGATGTCTCAGTTGGACATAGTAGTACAGTTTATGGATTTAATTTACATAAGAAATATTGTGTCATAATTATTTTGGTGAATTTATAATCTGAGACTGGGAACATATTTCTTTTTCAAATTTGATGACATTTTTATTTTATGAGGAAATATTTTTTTTAAGGTCAAAAATAAGATTTTCTTTGTTTTACCACTTTCTTGTTTCATGTTATGAAGATTTTACTCTCAAATAATTGTTTTTCAGGATTATATTTATTTTTAGGCATTTGCTTTTAAATTGTATACCAATACTTTACAACTTGTTGACTTCAGATTTTTGTTAGAGGGTAACATTCAGGATGAGTAATGTTGGTTAATGTTTTAATTTTTTGTTATTTTCTTACTTACTTAATTTTCTGTGATGTTATAAATATATTAATGCTGACTACCTCTGACTTCCAAAGAGAAAATGCTAATTTGAACAAAGGGGAGTTAAAATACAAAAGTTGTATTAATAATGACATGATGATTGATTCTGTTCACTTTTTTCCCTCCTAAAATGAATTTGGGAAAAAAATTAGAAAATGTGGTTGAGATCACCATGAGGTCAGTCTTCATCAGTGGTTATTAAGAAGTCACTCTAAGACTCCTAAGGGATAAACATTTCTTTATGCCTTATGGTTGATTTTATATTGACATATGATTTATTATTGATTAACATTTCTTACAGAGCTAGCATCTCTGAGGAAAGAAATGACATGAAATTGCTTTAATTTATAATCATAAGCTGAAAATAATTTTTGTTCAGAAAATTGAAATCTTTTTCTTTGGCCTTCAGTTGCTAAAACCATGTAATGCTATGGTTGATAGAAGAGATTCTGGAGTGACTGTCTGAATTCATAACCATCTTTGCCCTTTACTGGTTGGATAACCTTGGACAAGTCCTTAACATAGCTGTCTCACTCTGTTTATTCGCAAAGTGGGAAAGAAAAGAGATTAGGAGTGCTTGGGACAATGTTTGGCATTTAGTAAGCTGCTGCTATTATTCTGTAATGACAAAAAGGGATAATAATATTTGCCAGTATTTTCCCTTCATTCATGGTTTTACTCAGAATTTATTGATTTGCTTATTCTGTTTTAATAAAAAGTAATAAGACATGGCAGATGGGGAAGTCAGAAATAAGTAGACAAACTATCAAGAACTGCTATTAAGAAAATGAACAGCATGCATTTTCTTTTCCTTTCTTTTTTTTTAATGTGTGTTTATTTTCCATTTCTTACTACAACTTCCACCTCCCAGAATTAAGTGGTCCTCCCACCTCAGCCGTCTGAGTAGCCAGGACCACAGACCCATGCTACCACATCCAGCTAATTTTTTTGTAGTTTTTGTAGAGTTGGGATGTCACCATGTTGCCCATAGTCTTGAGCTCAAGCGGTCTGCACACCACAGCCTCCCAAAGTACTGGGATTACAGTATAGGCATGAGCCATCACACCCAGCCTGCATTTTCATTTTACTTACCTTTTTGCTCTCAGGACCCATATTCTATTTATTAAATCCAGTAATTATTTATAACTCTTAACGACACAGATTATTTCTGGTTTCTACAGTTAAGATGTGAAAATTTTAGGGCAATCTGGCATTATCAAAGAATAGACCATGTGGTATAAATAATTGATCCTTTTGTATTTATATTTAACTTTTTTATATTTATTTTTCAAAATTCTTCTAGAGTTTTACCTTTTCATTGTTTTGTCCTTTTACTTTGTCTTATTTTACGTTTTCACCATTATGTTTTTCACCCCTCCTCTAGATATAAAACCTTTATTCAATTTTCTGGGGTTTGTATGTAATAGACTTCTGATGTTTTTGTTGGATTAATGCCCAGTAGTTGGCCAAGTCTGCAAATCCACTGTATCATGTAGTTTTACCCATAAAATAAAATACAACTTTAAAATTTAATTCCTTTTTTGAATCTATATATTTAAGTCTAGAATAACTTTGGAAGTTTTCTAACTAAAGAACTGTCAATTTTCTTAGATTATTCTCTTTTACATTCTGCCACTGGTTCTGAAAATTAACTTTCTTTTGGCAGCCAGTTTTTGTAAAGAAACAGTGATTTTTAAAATTGCTTTATAAGCGTCACATATCTTGAGTTTATTTTATTAACTTGGTGACTTTGGACAAATTAAGTAACTTCTGTGTCTTTCTTTATCTATAGCATATATGCTGATAGTCTTGTAGTATTGGGTAGCTTAAATGAAATAATTCTTTTGTTTTCTGAGTCATATAAATGAAATAATTTATGTTAAATATTTAACATACACAAATCACTCAGTAATTGTGTAATGTTGTGATTTTTTTTTGTTTGTTTGTTTTGTTTTTGTTTTTTTGAGATGGAGTCTCACTCTATTGCCCAGGCTGGCATACATGTGGCGCAATCTTGGCTCACTGCTGCCTCCCCACCTTCCCTGGTTAAAGCAGTTCTCCTGCCTTAGCATCCAAGTAGCTGGGACTACAGGCATGTGCCACCATACCCGGCTAGTTTTTGTATGTTTAGGAGAGACGGGGTTTCACCATGTTAGCCAGGCTGGTCCCAAACTCCTGAACGCAGGCAATCCACTCGCCTCGGCCTCCCGAAGTGCTGGAATTACAGGCGTCAGCAACTGCACCTGGCCAAATGTTGTGATTTTGATATAGAACACAGCAAAGCTTATTTGATTCGGTTGTAAAGAGGGCAGAGAACTTGAAAATTTTTTAACATATTTTTGTTTCATATTATACACTAAAATATTTTCAGTATATGTAAAATTATATATACTACTTATGGAGAATTCAGAAAAAGAAAAGTACAAAAATAAAAAATGTCTATCATGGTACCATCTTATGATTGTGCCATAACTTGTTGGTATTTTAAGTTTCTTTGTCGTGTGTACTTGTGAAGTATTTTGGTTTTATTTTTAAACAAGTGTTCTGGTCAGTTTTGTAACATACTTGTTTTTGTGCTTTTAATTTTTTAAAATCATACCTAATTTTCTAAAATTTAGATGTCCTTTAATTTTACTTTTCTGCTTTTGGAGTTTTTTGTCTTTCTTTTTTAGATCCCCATCATCTTTTCTTTCTTTCTTAGATCCCCATCATCTTTTCTTTCTTTCTTAATTTATTCTCTCCTTTTTGTGTAGCATATTTTCTGATAGTTTCTTTAGAAAAAGGGCATTTGGGAGATATGTATTTGACACTTTACATGCCTGAAAACTATGTTGTAGCTTCTTGTTTAATAGTTTGACCCAATTTTAATTTCATCATTGAAAACTATTTTCTTAAGAATTTGTTTCTAGTTTCCAACGTTGCTGTTGAGAAGTCCAATGCCAATTTTAGATTTCTGACTCTGATCCTGTTTCTTGTCTTTGAATGCTCTGAGATATTTGTTTGTTTGTTTGTTACTGGTATCTTGAAATTTCATGATGATACACTGTTACGTATGTTTATTTTTTGTTTCTTAGTCCTCTCTGTTTCTTGTATTACCTCGTTTATTAAACTGAATTTTGACTGTCTTTTACGTTTCTAAGAATTCTTTCTTATTCTCCAAGTCTTTTTCATTTTTGTTTTTTGAATTGGAGTATTGCTCTGTCGCCCAGGCTGGAGTGCAGTGGCACAGGCTTGGCTCACTGCAACCTACACCTCCTGGGCTCAAGGTTTCTCCCACCTCTGTCTCCTTAGTGGCTGGAATTACAGGCATGCGCCACCATACCAAGCTAATTTTTGTATTTTTAGTAGAGACAGGGTTTTACCATGTTGGCCAGGCTGGTCTCAAACTCCTGACCTCAGGTGATCTGCCTACCTCAGCCTCCCACAGTGTTGGGATTACAGGTGTGAACCACCACACCCAGCCCAAACCTCTCTTTTTTAAACATTCTATGTTTCGTAGTTACCTTTTCTTTGATATTAATTATTTCTCTGAGGTTTACTTCTGCTCTAAACCCTAACCTTTTTTATTCTTCTCTGCTTTTTAAACTTTCATATTGGACATTTTCCTCAAATATTTGTTTCTTGGCTCTGTAGTCATTGTTGAGAGTGAGAAACTAAAAAGCTCACTGGTAGAGAGGGGTATATGTGTGCCTCTGGCATGGTGGGACATTGACTCTGGCTTCCAGATTGGTGAGCATCACTATAGAGCAGTCTAATGGTCAGCTAGTATTTTCATTATAGACCCTCAAATGTTGCTAGTGATAATTATCTTCAGCAAGATAATTACCTGGAGAAGTTCAGCCTCTTTGCAGAAGGATCTTCCAGTCTACTTAAGCTTGGCTGCTGTCTGCTCTTGGAGTTGGACAGAATGAAGAAACCCTGAGGGCACTCACACACACCAAACATAATCATACATGTATGTCTGATGACTCTGGATTTCTGGTTTATTTTCTTGAGAAAATAAATGTCCAGAATTCCAAAATGAATATGTTGTAAAGGAATTGCTTGACTGCCTACTCTCTACGGGAGTAGAGACTTGGGAATTTAATTGCCTATTATACAGACTAGGAGATAATACTCCTATTTCAGACCATAACATACTTTATCTTTTGTGGAACCTACTACTACTAATAACTGATGGTTTCTGTATTCTACAGAGCAAAAACAGCTTTTTATTTTTGAGACAGGTTCTTGCTCTGTCACCCAGGCTGGAGTGCAGTGGCATGATTACGACTCACTGTAGCGTCAGTCTCCTGGGCTAATTGATCCTCCTGCCTTAGCCCTCCTGAAGCTGGGACTACAGGCATGTGCCACCACACGTGGCTAATTTTCTTTCTTTTTTTCATTTTTTTTGTGTGTGGAGAAGAGATCTTACTATGTTGCCTAGTCTGGTCTCAAGCCTTCCTCCCATCTTGGCCTCCCAAAGTGCTAGGATTATAGAAGTGGCCTCCCCCCATGCTCAGTGCTTGTTTTTCTTAGAGATATGGTTGTCATGCAAATTTTTCTATCCTTCCTTTGATTTTTAATGCCCTCTGCTCATCCTACTACTGGCCATATTCATATATTCTTATATTGTGGTTAGAGATTGCATGTATTTTCTGAGTTTATTGAAGATTAAATTTTTTTTTAACTTTTATTTGAAGTTCACGGGTATATATGCAGGTTTGTTAAATAGGTAAGCACATGTCACAGGGACTTGTTGTACAGATTAGTTTGTTACGCAGGTATTAAGCCTAGTACTCGTTAGTTGTCTTTCCTGACTCTCACCTTCCTCCAAACCTCCACCCTCTGTTAGGCCCCATTGTCCATTGTTTCTGTCTGTGTGTTCATGTGTTCACATCATTTAGCTCCCACTTATAAGTGAGACTATGAGGTATTTGGTTTTCTCTTCCTGCATTAGTTTGCTAAGGATAATGGCCTCCATCTTCATGTCCCTGCAAAAGACATGATCTTATTCTTTTTTATGGCTCCAGAGCATTCCTTGGTGTATATGTACCATATTTTCTTTAACCAGTCTACCATTGATGGCCATTTAGGTTGATTTCATGTCTTTGCTATTGTGAATAGTGCTGCAGTGAACACAGGCATGCATATGTCTTTATGATAGAATGATTTATATTTCTTTGGGTATTGCATTAGTCTGTTTTCATACTGCTATAAAAAACTGCCCGAAACTGCGTAATTCATAAAGACAGATTTAATTGATTCACAGTTCTGCATTGGTAGGGAGGCCTCAGGAAACTTACAATCATGGTAGAAGGCAAAGGAGAAGCAGGCACCTTCTTCACAGGGCAGCAGGCTGGAAATGAGTGCAAGCAGGGAAAATGCCAGAGGCATATAAAACCATCAGATCTCCGGCTGGGTGCAGTGGCTCACACCTGTAATCCTAGCACTTTGGAAGGCTGAGGTGGGTGGATCACCTGAGGTCAGGAGTTCGAGACCAGCCCGACCAACATGGAGAAACCCCGTCTCTACTAAAAATACAAAATTAGCTGGGCATGGTGGCACATGCCTGTAACTGCAACTACTCAGGAGGCTGAGGTAGGAGAATCGCTTGAACCTGGGAGGTGGAGGTTGCGATGAGCCGAGATCATGCCATTGCACTCCAGCCTGGGCAACAAGAGCAAAACTTTGTCTCAGAAAAAAAAAAAAAAAAAAGAGATCTCAGGCCAGGTGCAATGTCTCACGCCTATAATTCCAGCACTTTGGGAGGCTGAGGCAGGTCAATTACTTTAGGTCGGGAGTTTAAGACCAGCGTGGCCCACATGGTGAAACCCTGTCTCTACTAAAAATACAAAATTAGCCAGGGGTGGTGATGCGTGCCTATAATCACAGTTACGAGGCTGAAGCAGGAGAGTCACTTGAACTTTGGAGGCGGACGTTGCGTGGGCCAAGATCGCACCACTGCTCTCCAACCTGGGTGACAGAGCAAGACTTTGTCTCAAAAAATATACATACAAAAACCTAGCTGGCCGGGTGTAGTGGCTCACACCTGTAATCCAAACACTTTGGAGGCCAAGGCGGGCGGATCACCTGAGGTCGGGAGTTCAAGACCAGCCTGACCAACATGGTGAAACCCTGTTCTTTTAACAAAAATAAAAACCTAGCTGGGCGTGGTGGTGTGCATCTGTAATCCCAGTTACCTGGGTGGGTGAGGCAGGAGACTTTAACCCGGAGGGCAGAGGTTGTAGTAAGCTGAGATTGTGCCACTGTACTCACAGCCTTGGTGACACAGTGACCCTTCATCTCCCAAAAAAAAAAAAAAAAAAAGCATCAGATCTGGTGAGGACACTATCAGCCAGGTGCAATGGCTCACGCCTATAATCCTAACACTTTGAGAGGCCAAGGAGGCAGATGATTCAAGACCAGCCTATCTAACATGGCAAAACTTCCATCTCTACTAAAAATACAAAAATTAGTTGGCCTGGTTGAGGGCTCCTGTAATTTTAGCTACTAGGGAGCCTAAGGCACGAGACTCACTTGAACTGGGGAGGCAGGCGTTTCCGTGACCTGAGATCGCGCCACTGCACTCCTGCCTGGGCAGCGGAACGAGACTCCATCTCAAAAAAAAAAAAAAAAAAAAAAAAAACTCAGTATCATGAGAACAGTATGTGGGAAACTGTCCCCATGATCCCAATTACCTCCACCTGGTCCTACCAAAAAGTGTTGTAAAAATAAAGTACTACAATCATCTCTCTTAAAAATCTAGTTTGTTCCACTATATCAGACATATTTTCAGGGTGTCTAATAATAGTTTTCAAAGGTGTGATAGCTGTCACTAAATATAAATGTAGTTTTTTACTTTTCAGTTTTATGTTTAATGAGAAGAAATGCAAATTGTTGATTATCGATTAAAAGGGCCAATGTCCTCAGTCTTCATTTTAGGCATCCCATTTCTTGATGAACCTTCCTTTTGTTCCAATTTTTTTTCTGTGTTTCCACTCTAGTGTTTTTCTTTTATTATTATGATTTTAAATACTTTGACACTACATTTTTAATGTTCTTTACACCCTTCATGTCTTCACTGCCTTTATTTTTCCCACTTAGATTTTATCATTCTTTATTATAATCACATCCTTCTTCATACTGTCAACTTTCTTGCTTCTGTGTTCTGCTTTCATATTCCCTAGGAAAACCGTATATAACCATCTGTCCCATACCTGCACCAGAGCCGAAAGTGGCTAGACAAAAATACATAACTATAAGGGATGGGCTCTCTTTTTTTTTTTTTCCCAAGTTGTCCTTTAATGCTGCCTAGTAATCCCCTTTGAGTATTATACTCCAAGCTATTTCCACATCCTAACAAAATTATTTTATACTTTCTCTTCAAAGCTACATTTCCTGTGCACTTTTCACATTTAGCTGATTATCTTGCCTGTTTAATCGGGATGGTCCTTCCCGATTAAAGAGAATCCTTCAGGGATTAAACCTACCTATCTAGCTGCAGTTATACTCATATCCTCTACCCTTTTTCTTATTAACAGTAGCCTCTAAGGCCAGTCCTTGTACTTGTGCAGTAATCTGATCCCAAACCTTCTCTAGAACTTTGTCTTTCAAGTTGTTCTCACTCTCATTACTTCAAAATTTCTCGCTTTTATTAGGTAACTCTTATTATCTTGCTAACATACTTTAACAGCTCCCATCTTTTAGGAACCTTTTGTGTCAGTCTGGGTTCCTCAGGGAAGCAGAACTAAGAGATAGACCTCTCTCTCTCTCTCTCTCTCTCTCACACACACACACACACACACACACACACACACACACACACACGTTTCACTGATGTGGCTCAGCACAATTGTGGGGTTTGGCAAACTGGAAATTTGTAGGGTAGTCCAGTGAGCTGGAAATCAGGGAGGAATCATGCAGTCTTGAGTTTGAGATCTATGGGGCAGGCTAGAAGCTCAGGATATTTGTTTGTTTGTTTGTTTTAGAGACAGGGCCTCACTCTGTCACCCAGGCTGAAATCCAGTGGCTCAGTCATAGCTTACTGCATCCTTGAAAACCTGGGCTCATATAATCCTCACCCCTTGGCCTCCTAAGTAGCTGGGACAACAGGTACACATCTCCATGCACAGCTAATTTTATTTTTTGTAGAGATGGGGTCTTGCTATGTTGCTGGTGTTGGTCTTGAACTCCTGACCTCAAGTAATCCTCCCACCTCTGCCTCCCAAAGTGCTGGGATTACAGACATGAGCCATCATGCCCAGCCTTATACTTCATTTTGCATTCTTGAAGGCAAACATTTCCCCTCTAGAAATGTTTTTTCTCTTAAGCTTTCAACTGATTGCATGAGGCCCACTCACATTATTGAGGGTAATCTCCTTAAGGAGATTATAGATGTTAACCATACAAAATATCTACAAAATACCTTCAAGGTGACACCTGCATTGATGTTTGATTAAGTAATTGACCATGATAGTCTAGCCATGCCTGGACTCATAAGACTAACCATCACACTGTACCTTGTTTCCTCACGTCTCACTAACTCCAGTCTCATTTCTCTTCTCTTTACAGCAAGAGAATTGAATTCTGAATTCAGTAATTCAGAATTATTTATATTCACTCTCTCCACATAGTCTTCTCCTGTTAGGCTTCTGTCTCTAACACTTCACTACTGCTCTTGTTGAGGTCAGCAGTTACCTTCTTATTGCCCAAATCATTGAGCAGCTCCAGTTGTCATCTTTTTTTCTTTGGAAAGACACAGCTACCTCCTTCTTCTTGGAACACTGTCTTTACTTGCTTTCTGGAATACCACATTGTCCTGGTGATTTTAAAAAGCTAAACTGCAAATATTGAATTATCTTGAGACTCAATCTTCAGACAGTTTTTCTTTTCTATATTCACTCCTTACTGAATAAAGTGAAAACCAA